ATGTCAGAGCCAGTTGTTCGGCCCAGAGGTCCACCTGTATCATCGATTCTCTGAAATCCGAACCTAGTCCTAGCACATCGTAGTCACTGGCTAGGGCTCAGGCTTTCGTGGAACATCATTGGACAAGTCCGGTCTAGACTGACACACTTTATCCAAAGTGTCAGAATGCACTCATTCAGTCACTGGTTTGGTTGTACTACCCTAGTCTACAGCTAACTACCATACAGTCTGACCTTTTCTTTCCTCCTCAACCATGGGATTGGGAGAGACCTTTCAGTCTTGTTTAGTCTTCCCTCTTCCACCCTGGAATTTAGAGATACCTTACAGTCTTGTTCAGTATTTTCTTCTCTACCCTAGAATGTAGAGGTACCTTACAGTTTTGTTCAGTATTTCCTCCTCTACCCTAGAATGTAAAGATACCTTACAGTCTTGTTCAGTATTTCCTCCTCTACCCTAGGATGTAAAGATACCTTACAGTCTTGTTCAGTATTTCCTCCTCTACCTTAGAATGTAGAGGTACCTTACAGTCTTGTTCAGTATTTCCTCCTCTACCCTAGAATGTAGAGGTACCTTACAGTCTTGTTCAGTATTTCCTCCTCTACCCTAGAATGTAGAGGTACCTTACAGTCTTGTTCAGTATTTCCTCCTCTACCCTAGGATGTAAAGATACCTTACAGTCTTGTTCAGTATTTCCTCCTCTACCCTGTGATGTAGAGGTACCTTACAGTCTTGTTCAGTATTTCCTCCTCTACCCTGGGATGTAGAGGTACCTTACAGTCTTGTTTAGTATTTCTTCCTCTACCCTAAGATGTAGAGGTACCTTACAGTCTTGTTTAGTGTTTCTTCCTCTACCCTAAGATGTAGAGGTACCTTACAGTCTTGTTTAGTATTTCTTCCTCTACCCTAAGATGTAGAGATACCTTACAGTCTTGTTTAGTATTTCTTCCTCTACCCTAAGATGTAGAGGTACCTTACAGTCTTGTTTAGTATTTCCTCCTCTACCCTAAGATGTAGAGGTACCTTACAGTCTTGTTTAGTATTTCTTCCTCTACCCTAAGATGTAGAGGTACCTTACAGTCTTGTTTAGTATTTCTTCCTCTACCCTAAGATGTAGAGGTACCTTACAGTCTTGTTTAGTATTTCTTCCTCTACCCTAAGATGTAGAGGTACCTTACAGTCTTGTTCAGTATTTCCTCCTCTATCCTAGGATGTAGAGGTACCTTACAGTCTTGTTCAGTATTTCCTCCTCTACCCTGGGATGTAGAGGTATCTTACAGTCTTGTTCAGTATTTCCTCCTCTACCCTAGGATGTAAAGATACCTTACAGTCTTGTTTAGTATTTCTTCCTCTACCCTGGGATGTAGAGGTACCTTACAGTCTTGCTCAGTATTTCCTCCTCTACCCTGGGATGTAGAGGTACCTTACAGTCTTGTTCAGTATTTCCTCCTTTGCCCTGGGATGTAGAGGTACCCTTTAGTCTAGTTTACTTGCTCTTCTTCTGCCCTAGGATGTAGAGGTACCCTTTAGTCTTATTTACTTGCTCTTCTTGTGCCCTGGGATGTAGAGGTACCCTTTAGTCTAGTTTACTTGCTCTTCTTCTGCCCTGGGATGTAGAGGTACCCTTTAGTCTAGTTTACTTGCTCTTCTTCTGCCCTGAAGATAAAGGGGCTATCAACTGGTCGTATTGCTGACCTCGCTGCAAACAAATCCTGTTGTAAGTTGCTTCTCTGTAACCTTTTGGTTACTTCCCCCCCCCCCTTACGTAATGGGAGACCTCACTACAGCCTACGGGAGACCTCACTACAAACCATGGGAGACCTCTCTTCAGCCTATGGGAGACCTCACTACAAACCATGGGAGACCTCACTACAAACCATGGGAGACTTCACTACAAACCATGGGAGAACTCACTACAACCCATAGGAGACTTCACTACAAACCATGGGAGACCTGACTACAAACCATGAGACACCTCACTACAAACCATAAGACACCTCACTACAAACCATGAGACACCTCACTACAAACTATAAGACACCTCACTACAAACCATAAGACACCTCACTACAACCCATGAGACACCTTACTACAAACCATGAGACACCTTACTACAAACCATGAGACACCTCACTACAAACCATGAGACACCTCACTACAAACCATAAGACACCTCACTACAAACCATAAGACACCTCACTACAAACTATAAGACACCTCACTACAACCCATGATATCTTATAGAAATAACTGACAAAACAGCATGCTACAATCCCATTTGACGCCCAGCTGCCCTAGCATGCGAAGGGCGAGGCAAGTGAGAACAGAGACTCAACCACTTAGACAAGTTCGCTGAGACATGAGTCACCGGTGCGTCCTCGTCACATCACGACAAAAAGTCAGTCAAGTCACTGTTGTGACATCCTATGGAGACTATGACACTCCTGTCTGGGTAGCTTATAGGTCCTCGTCACATCACGACAAGTCACTGTTGTGACATTCTGCATCCTACATGGTTGGAGTGCATGGGTTACTTATAGTAGCCAATTTCTGTGACGTCATGTATCTCAGCACAGTCATTCAGTCACCAAACGGGTTGACAATAGGACTAACTATAGAGTGTGAGGAAGTTTGGTGAATCTTAATTTGGCCACATAAACAGACGACATGACACTCTCACATTATTTATGTTGGAGGCAAATGTGAAAAGTTGGCGAGCAAGTGGTAAGCAATGTTATAAGTGGAAGGACAGGATAACAGACATGATCGATCCGTGGTGTACGATAAAAAGGCTAAACATAAAGTACCATCAACCGTCTTTGCACAAACGGCGATCGATTAAAAAAAACTGACGCCATTTCAGAAATACGGAGAGAATAACAAACTAGACATTCGAGGTCATGGGGTCAGTCCGGGGTTTAACGAGTCATTGGAGAAAAGAGAACCCCTGTGAGACGTGCGACCAGCTGTCTCCAGTTACAGGTTCTTGCCTCAGAGACGTGTGAGCAGCTGTCTCCAGTGACAGGTTCTTGCCTCAGAGACGTGTGAGCAGCTGTCTCCAGTGACAGGTTCTTGCCTCAGAGACGTGTGAGCAGCTGTCTCCAGTGACAGGTTCCTGTCTCAGAGACGTGTGAGCAGCTGTCCCAAGTGACAGGTTCTTGTCTCAGAGACGTGTGAGCAGCTGACTCCAGTGACAGGTTCGTGTCTCAGAGACGTGTGAGCAGCTGTCTCCAGTGACAGGTTCCTGTCTCAGAGACGTGTGAGCAGCTGTCCCAAGTGACAGGTTCGTGTCTCAGAGACTTACGACCAGCTGTCTCCAGTGACAGGTTCTTGTCTCAGAGACGTGTGAGCAGCCTGTCTCCAGTGACAGGTTCGTGTCTCAGAGACGTGTGAGCAGCTGTCTCCAGTGACAGGTTCTTGTCTCAGAGACGTGTGAGCAGCTGTCTCCAGTGACAGGTTCTTGTCTCAGAGACGTGTGAGCAGCTGTCTCCAGTGACAGGTTCCTGTCTCAGAGACGTGTGAGCAGCTGTCCCAAGTGACAGGTTCGTGTCTCAGAGACTTACGACCAGCTGTCTCCAGTGACAGGTTCTTGTCTCAGAGACGTGTGAGCAGCTGTCTCCAGTGACAGGTTCGTGTCTCAGAGACGTGTGAGCAGCTGTCTCCAGTGACAGGTTCTTGTCTCAGAGACGTGTGAGCAGCTGTCTCCAGTGACAGGTTCTTGTCTCAGAGACGTGTGAGCAGCTGTCTCCAGTGACAGGTTCGTGTCTCAGAGACTTACGACCAGCTGTCTCCATTGACAGGTTCTTGTCTCAGAGACGTGTGAGCAGCTGTCTCTAGTGACAGGTTCTTGTCTCAGAGACGTGTGAGCAGCTGTCTCCAGTGACAGGTTCTTGTCTCAGAGACGTGTGAGCAGCTGTCTCCAGTGACAGGTTCTTGTCTCAGAGACGTGTGACCAGCTGTCTCCAGTGACAGGTTCGTGTCTCAGAGACTTACGACCAGCTGTCTCCAGTGACAGGTTCTTGTCTCGGAGACATATCCGCGGTGTATCCTGCTAGAGTGGACAGAAGACCACATCGCCATTGTGATCATACAGGTGGTTGTCATCAATGAACTCTTGATGTGTTGAGAGATACGTGTCGAGAGTGCGCATACTTGTATGTTAGTGTGTTTACATGCGTATACGTTAGTGTGATTACATACTTGTATGTTATTGTGTTTACATGCGTGTATGTTAATATGTTTACACGCGTGTATGTTATTGTGTTTACACGCGTGTATGTTAATGTGTTTACATGCGTGTATGTTATTGTGTTTACATGCGTGTATGTTAATATGTTTACACGCGTGTATGTTATTGTGTTTACGTGCGTGTATGTTAATGTGTTTACATGCGTGTATGTTAATGTGTATGTGATTGTATAAACAAACGTATAGACACTGAGACACCAGCGATAGATTTAACCATTTTTTTGTCTCGAAGATTTCTTTTGTTGTAGGGGAGCCGCCGTGGTGAAGCAGATAGACGCTCGGCTACCGATCCGTAGGTCGTGGGTTCAGGCCCAGAGAAAGCTGGACTTGTGTTTACAAGAATGCCTCGACTCCCATATCGACCCAGCCCTAAATGGTTTCATGCTAAAGTCCTGGGAAGTAAAGGCGACTGGCATGAGGTTGATTTCATTACCCATCGAGTGTCGACTTGTCTATACAATCTTGGTCTAACCCTGTATCACTAAGATCCAAACCCACGACCTTCCGATCTGTGTCTAGTGACATAACATAATATGAAACATAAATGAATTTTCAAGTCGTGTTTATGAGAGGTGTCATTCCGAATGTCGTGTCTAAGAGAGGTTTCATTCTGAATATCGTGTTTATGAGCGGTGTCATTCCGAATATCGTGTTTATGAGCGGTGTCATTCCGAATATCGTGTCTATGAGAGGTTTCATTCTGAATATCGTGTCTATGAGAGGTGTCATTCCGAATGTCGTGTCTAAGAGAGGTGTCATTTTGAATATCGTAGTTTATGAGAGGTGTCATTCTGAATATCGTGTCTAAGAGAAGTGTCATTCTGAATTTCGTGTCTGTGAGAGGTGTCATTCAGAATATAGTGTCTATGAAAGGTGTCATTCAGAATATAGTGTCTATGAAAGGTGTCATTCAGAATATAGTGTCTATGAAAGGTGTCATTCTGAATATCGTGTCTCTGAAGGGTGTCAGCTTGTGAGTGGTGGACATGAGAGATGCCAATGTGTCATTCGTGGATATGAGAGATGACATTTAGTAAATCATGGATTTAAGTGATGACATTTAGTAAATCATGGATATAAGAGATGACGTTTAGTAAATCATCGATATAAGAGATGACATTTAGTAAATCATGGATTCAAGTGATGACATTTAGTAAATCATGGATATAAGAGATGACGTTTAGTAAATCATGGATATAAGAGATGACATTTAGTAAATCATGGATATAAGAGATGACCTTTAGTAAATCATCTATTTAAGTGATGACATTTAGTAAATCATGGATTTAGGAGATGACATTTAGTAAATCATGGATATAAGAGATGACATTTAGTAAATCATGGATATAAGAGATGACATTAAGTAAATCATTTATTTAAAAGATGACTTTTAGTAAATCATGGATATGAAAGATGACATTTAGTAAATCATGGATTTGAGAGATGACATTTAGTAAATCATGGATTTGAGAGATGTCAGTGCTTAACCTTTACCTTGTATATTTTTGTTATCAAATATTTAAATTCATGTGCCAGTTGTACCAACAGTTCGCACGTCTGTCTGTGTTTGTCTGTTTGTCTGTAAGATTGTCTCCTCAAACATATATTGACAGCACGTATGTCTGCCCAACTGTCTGTCAGCTGGCCTGTCCGTTAATCATACAGTCCGCATTTAACAGACCCACTGCCTTCTTAACAAGCATGTCGTAAAAGGTGATTAATTTGGGTTGTTACCCTGGAAGTCAGAACGCATACAAATATATACGAAAACTATACTTGTGTCCAGAAATTGATGAACAACCACAAATTGTAAAAATATTTAATCCAGTACATTAGACAGATATCGGAGCCAAGTTGTTAACCACAACACATGTGTCAATAGTCTCTGAAATGATAATCGCAGAAACAAGATATCATGATTATGACCTGTCCCGAACAAAAAATAATGAGTGTGACCTGCCACAAACAAGATACCATGAGTGTGACCTAGCACAAACAAGATACCATGAGAGTCACCTGCCACAAACAAGATACCATGAGTGTGACCTAGCACAAACAAGATACCATGAGTGTGGCTTGGCACAAACAAGATACCATGAGAGTTACCTGCCACAAACAAGATATCATGAGAGTTACCTGCCACAAACAAGATATCATGAGTGTGGCATGGCACAAACAAGATATCATGAGAGTCACCTGGCACAAACAAGATATCATGAGAGTCACCTGGCACAAACAAGATATCATGAGTGTGGCATGGCACAAACAATATATCATGAGAGTCACCTGGCACAAACAAGATACCATGAGAGTCACCTGGCACAAACAAGATATCATGAGTGTGGCATGGCACAAACAAGATATCATGAGTGTGACCTAGCACAAACAAGATATCATGAGAGTTACCTGGCACAAGTAAAATGTCATGAGCGTGACCAGGCACAAACAAGATATCATGAGTGTTACCTGGCACAAACAAGATATCATGAGTGTTACCTGGCACAAACAAGATATCATGGGTGTTACCTGGCACAAACAAGATATCATGAGTGTTACCTGGCACAAACAAGATATCATGAGTGTTATCTGGCACAGTCAAAACCTCACACTTCATAGCAACCGTGCCATGACTAGCACATAATCACGCACAACGTCGTCTCTTCTTTCAGACTGACCGCCCTGTCGCCCAGGTCGCTGTCCGATTGTCCAGCCATCGAGTTTATTTAATGCACAACCTATCGCCTGTATGATATTGCGCTAATTGTGCAAGTCCTTTCACATGTTTGCCCATTGTGTTGACCTTATCATCCAATAACTGACTGTCCACTAACTGACTGGCCATACATTTATCCACACTCACTAACTGTCCAACCATGGCTATGACTCAATGTTCCACTCACTAACTGTCCAACCATGGCTATGACTCAATGTTCCAATTACTAACTTTCCAACCATGGCTCTGACTTAATGTTCCACTCACTAACTGTTCAACCATGGCTCTAACTCAATGTTCCACTAACTAACTGTCCAACCATGGCTTTGACTCAATGTTCCACTCACTAACTGTCCAACCATGGCTATAACTCATTGTTCCACTCACTAACTGTCCAGCCATGGCTATAACTCAATGTTCCACTCACTAACTGTCAAACCATGGCTATAACTCAATGTTCCACTCACTAACTGTCCAACCATGGCTATGACTCAATGTTCCACTCACTAACTGTCCAACCATGGCACTGACTCAATACTGGCTGGTTACACATACCTTTCCTCACAAGATGACAGACACACTTGAACCGCCCCGAGATCTTCGACTACTGTTTGCAGAATTCTCAGAAATGGCAGGCGCCAGCGAGAAGTCAGGTCATTTATCAAGAAAACTTTCCTGCTTGGAATTCACCTGCTGCCTCAAGCTGCGTTTGTTTTTCTTGAGATCTCCTCTTTGTTTGCTTAAAACCGATTTAATGCCGCTGTGGGGAAAGTTAGGCTCACCGTACCACCCAGTCTGCTTGCCTTTCGTCGTTCGGCTGTCTGTGTGTTCTAACTACTCTTTGTTTATCTACATTTTAGAATATCTGTCAGTGGGAATAATAGAACCATAGTTGATAAAATAATGTTACTAAGGGAGACAGACAATACAAGGAAATACAAACATTAGCAGCCGATAGAGACATTACTAGAAGATTCAGACTTGTGCAGGGTTCTTATCACTTTGGGTCGTGAGTGGCAGGGACTGGCCAGTCGGCGCTGTCGAATCGGAAGTTTGACAAATGATTCATGACAATTCCCGCTGAATTAAGTGGTGTGATTATCTACACAGATGGCTCTGTGTTGAGGGGCAGACGAAGTGCATGGGGGTTCATAGCAAAGGCGAATGGACGTCGCTTACTACAGCAAAGCCTGGCTTTTGATATCACAACGTCTAGTTTGAGAATGGAGGTAGAGGCAGTCACTGCTGCCTTCCGCTGGCTTGAGATTTAGCTAAACACGCATGTCGTGATTGTCACTGATTAACAGAGCATGTTGAGAAAGGTAGAGACATGTATGCTCTGTGCAGAGTGGCAAGCATCACTTCAGAGGTCCCAGGTAGTTAATATCCTTTGGATATTCTCTTCAGGGTATACCGGTGTTTGAGTAAATGAGCAGGCAGATAGACTGACCAGTTCTGCACCACTTGGCGATGAACTGGTGTATGACAAGCTAGACATTGTGAGGGTCCTTTAGGAGCGAGTGAACAGAGCGGAAGCGCAAATAAATCATTACTGTTTGAGGAGAATGGCGCAGCTTGGAGTTACCAAGGAAGTTTGCCGACACTGAACAGAAAGACAAGACGGAAACAATCAGACACTTACTGCAGCCATCGTAATGGAAACTCTTTGTTTGCTGCTGAAAATTGAGCGCCTATGTGGGTGTCCCGAGTGCTATGATGTCGATTATTAATTCAACATTTAAACATGCATGACTATGATATCTTTATATGAGTAGGGTATACAGACAGTGAGATGGCTGACCGAACAGTTGTAACATTAAGCTGTTATGTGGGAGACCAAAGTTTGAATCCTAACCCTAACCCTGCACCACAACAGTGGTAAATGCAGGCAATAGTGATAGTTTTGTACAAGCATTAGCAGGTTATGTAGACATTGAGACTAAAGCTAAAGGAACAGAGCCTTGCGAGAAGACACAAATACAGCTCATAGTGTCGGGTCACACTTGTAGCCTCTCAACAGCCACTTTGAAAATCGCCTAATATACACTTTGGAAACTCTGGCGCCTAGTGGACTAAATTGCCAACACAGCTTCCTCTAAATCCTAGGGGGCTGAAGTGCCTACACAGTTTCATCTTATCTTCGAGTGATGGCCCCTGGCATATCCCCGGATATTTAATTTCCTCGCCAGACTATTGTCTTGACATCGACCTGGCTGCTACGAGAGATGAAGATAATAAATATTGGGTATTTGTGCAGTGTTTTCTAATCTATGCATGTGCTGAAGAAGGCTCCATAGCCGCAACGTTCAGGTTTTGTTGGTGTTTGTTATACCGTGAAGCTCGCTGAAACTTTTAGTTCGAGTTTATATCTTTTCCTTCACTTGTATGAGACACACGGACA